CGGGATCTTTTGCAATCCCAAAATAGTATCAGATTTTAACTTAGACTGTATGAAACTGTTTTGTAATGCTCCCTAGATGTCAGTAATTATGCCACTGCCAGTGATAAAAAACCGAAAAGATCTACAGCGTAAATGAAGTTGAATTTATAAATCAGGGTCCCAAAGGGGTTTAGGGCTCCAGGGCTCCGGCCTTAAAAATGCAGGGCTCCAGGGCTCCAAGACGAAAATTTCAGGGCTCTAGGGCTCCACATCATCTGCTTTAGGGCTCCAGGCTCCACTCTGATCTACAATCTTGATATGTAAAAATTCCATTTTTAACGCTAAATCAAATACGCAAATAAAAAAGTCAGCAATTCTGATCAATTTTTTAAACCCAAGCATCCGGTTATATTATCTATTACTAGGGTATCTAAAAGATAGTAATGCTGCGGCACATTCTGTTGATACTGGCATTAGTTAGGCAGTGAGACTTAAAAGAATCAAAAATGACATTGAATGTCCTATTTACATGTTGGAAAGTACTAGAATAATTACTATCAGTCTATAGAAAGAACTCCTGGGAACGTTGTTTAGAAAATGATCAAGTGGTTATCAACTCTGGTTTTCCCACAGTAAATTGTAGGAAATAATAGAAATTGAGATCGATTATCCAGATATTTAATAACCAGTGCACGATATTTTCTCTGGAAACACAATACTCTTCTTGCTGTTTGTTGCACTTTATTAAGTAACAGTTATTTAGCTATATATTTATAGAAAACAACAAAACAAAAAAAGGAAAAAAAAAAGAAAGTAGGAATAAATAACTCGGTAGGACTCGGACCCAGCACCTTCGACTCGACGCGACTACACCTAACCACTACACCACAAAGGCTGATTACGTAATTTCCGGGAAAAGTGTTTCACTTTATTCCTTTTCTATGAAACTTCCGCCGGCAAGATGATCGCCAGCCGCATTAACCGAGCTATTAACAGTGAAAAAACAATGTAAACGCATATTCCATGGCAATGAATGAATGAAAGAACATAATTATGCTTTTCAAAACGCCGATACACGTCCAGGTCTGCAAAGTAGGACACAAAACATATGTTTTGTTACCTCGATTTCCGCTGTTATTTTGAAGCGAATGGTCAAAATCACATCCATTTTCGGCTCATACAGTTTCTTAAGAATAGCATTGCATGACATTTTCTCACTTTCACATCACCTTCTAGCAAGCTGGAATTTGTACATCCCCCGTGTTGCGGAGTCGAAGAGCAAATGCTCATCTTCTCGTCAGGTTTAACACCTGGACGAGTCAAATGCTCTTGAATTGAAATCCACTCCCTAAGTTAACCATCGTACTCACCTGAAAGACTCCTGCGTGTCTTAAAATTTGGTAAGACCTCTAACCGTGCTGTAGAACTGAGCAGCGTGTTTTTATTTGAGTTGTTCGTGGCGCAATGCACTCTGGTTAAATGCAATGCATTGTGGTAAAAATAGTGTGGTTAAATGCAATGCATTGTGGTAAAAAGTGATGAATTCGAGAATTCGTCGCCCCTTTTTATATATTTCCTTTAAATCCTGATTATGTTGCTGCTCGCTCCCTTCGGTCGCTCCGCAGCAATTATTATCGACCGCTCAGACCGCTCGGTCAGTTCGCCTTGTTGTTGCTTTCGTTTCATATTCCGAGATGACTGAATCAAGCGAGTTAAAAGAGGCAGATCTACTTGATGCAACCGCGTGTTTATATAAACTGGGGACAGACAAGGCCTGCCATCGGTGGAGTTTCATGTTGAAACGCGAGAGAGGTACGACGTACGACTGTCTCTGGTTCCTCGAGGACCTTTTGCCATTCCATTTTACCGAATCTGGCATCGAGAACACGACTGTTGTGTCACAAGGAACTCTCAAGTATTCAATTCCAAGCGAAGATGTAGAAGAGGGGACTGTCAGGGTTGAAGAGGAGTGGTATGAGAAAACTATGCTTTTGGCGCTGGATGAAGTTGACGCCACAACCACCACAGAGAGAGCACTAATAGCTCAAGAAGAAGATGAAGATGTGCGTGGGACAGTTGTTGCATATCACTATAAACTGAGATAACCGCGTATACTTGTATTATGTACTGTCCTCTCTTCAGATTCTGTTTCTTTATGCCCGTTAACACGCACAAGCAAACACAAAAAGGCAGTAATCAAGAATCAATGCAATCTGGGAACTCGAATGATCAAACTTGAAAATGCTGGGCTCCGGGCTCAGCGCAAAATGTCTTTGGGCTCCGGGCTCCACAGCCAAAAAAGGATCACGGCTCCAGTCAGTAAAATGGTAGGGCTCCGGGCTCCACAGCAGAAATTTCAGGGCTCCAGGGCTCCAGGGACCCCCCCTTTGGGACCCTGATAAATAATGTGTTTACAAGAGCACAACAAGATTCCTTCACGCGCCAGATAGTCGATATCATTACTATACAGCTTTTCAACAAGTAACTTTTTTTTTTGTAACTTTTATTTGATTTACCACAAAATACAAAAAACGATAAAACAAGACGGCGAAGATTGGTTTTGTACGTAGATCCCCAGACAATAATACAATAATGAAGATAAGGATAAACTAAACAATAATAAAGAGTTTTTAGACACGGTTTACCTATTGATTTCGAGATTTTACGAGCTACTTGAGAAATGTGCGGTTTCCAAGACAGATGTTCATCAAGGACTACACCGAGGAAGATAGCCTGTGAACAGGCTCTCTGTCTGGGGAAAAAAATAGCAAGGAAAGGGAAGGGAAGGGGGGAGAGAGCCTGTAGACACACGTTTGAGGCCGCTATTCCGCCCTCTTGTAATTATCTTGCCGAACATCTGTCAGCAAGATCGTTATCTGTCAATCAATTTCGCGCGTGAGTAACTCCTGGGAAAAGGGAAAACATCCGTGTTTTGCTTCGTCTCAAAACAAAGTGAAATGGACCGCGAGCCTAATTGTCGATTTTGAAAAAAATCGTTGATCTCCGGTAAGAGAATTAATACGGTGCCGGTCGTTGGCGTTTCAAGAAATAAGACCTTGCTGGTTGACAGTGGCCAAGACAGCGTTGTACTAGCGCAAGCATTTGATTGCTCAAGATTTCCTCTTGTGCAAGGAGAAAGCTTTTCCGATTTAAGCTGCTTAACTTGTGTTCATCGCGCCGTTCGTCTTGCTAGTTCAGTTTCTAATTCAACAAGCCCCTGCAATGAGCGAACTTGGAATGCGAAAGGTACGGATACTATCATGACTTCTCCAGAACGTGAACCTCCAAAGACAAGTACAAAGAAATCAACAGCGCTTCGATCGCCGACAGGAATTACACCTTTGGGTATTTATCCCGCATTTATAGCAATAAAAGAGGGCGGTTGGCCTACACGGCGTTTACCTCACGCCAAAATGCTGCCTGTTCCCATAAGTTTTTTCCTCTGCTCGGTAGATTATGCTCTGGAAGGTTCTACATTTTCATTGAGCAAATATGGTTTTAGCCGCTGGTTTCACACTGAGAGGTCATGGCATACATATCGATTTACTGTGGTTTTTGTCTCTGGTCGGCAGGATTTTCCCTCTCTGATGCAAGAGCATTTTCTTTGACCTCTTTTGAAGCGTAAAGCTTTTTATTGCGGCTGAATAAGGGTCGTACTTTTCTCTAAAGTGCCCTTTGGATCTGAATAACTAAACGATTTTCTTTAGTCCGTAAATGTAATGTTTTTCTGAAATGTTGTATCACGCTGGGCCCAGGTCGTTAGTTTCTTTGCAGAATGTTTAAAATGATCACGGAGAGTAATTTACAGATCCAAAGTTATAAGATTCAAGTGCAGCTTAAACCGAAGCTACATCAACTATGGAGAATTGCATTTTGACTCGGTAAACTCCAGCCTAGTGTTTTTCTATCCATTAGATAGTGTGAGTCTTTTGACCGGAGCGCGTAGTTCCTCCCTGGGTAATAGCTTTTGAACAACAGTCTTTGGAGTGTTTTGTTATTTCCAAACGCGTGTTACGTGCCGACCGAAAAGCCGATGTCAATCAGACCTTTCAACAGTCAGTGTTCTCGCCAATAAGAACTTGCATCAGGATCTGATGCACAGCGGGTGCCGTGGAACGGCGGTCCCAAAGGCTTGTCCACAGGCCTTTTCGCTTTTCCCTCTCCCTAATTCCCTGCTCGACCAAAGGCCTGTTCACAGGCTACGAGGAAGACCGTTTCCTTAACCTGTTCGATTCTCTGTTCATTTATGCATATTTGCATTGGAAAATGATACCTTTTCTGTCTAGGCTTAAATAACATAAAGTTTGTTTTCTTCAGGTTTAAGGAGAGTTTGTTTGCCTTAAACCAAGTGGATAATTTATTAAGTTCGGAATTGAGTGAGGCTGCCAGGTAGATTGCCTTTTTAGGATTTTTAGCTAGACGACATTAGATGAGGTTCCTTAAACATTTCTTTAAGTGGGTGCTGCATGTGCTTCTGGTTTGAGGTTATTTGAGGTCGTGGAATTGAAAGGTATTGCGTGACCAATTTCAAGCAATAATGACCCAATTCTTGGCAATTTATTTTCAGATTTATCTGTTTGCTTTAGATTGAGCTATTTTCTTTCAGCACTTTCTGTGTAAATTTTCCAAAAGTATAGACAAAAGGCGTGTAATTAGAGATTATTCACGAGGATATTTCCGTTTCTTTCAAGGGAGTTCAGTCTAATTTGAAAAACCTTTCTTAACCCTTACTTGGGATTAAAAGAGCGATGGAAAGTAGGTGTATTCAAGATCTCAGTTGGCTTGAAATTCTTGCGCAGGTCTTAAGATACGATTCTTGTTCTTTTGTGAGTTACCTTTATCAGAAATGTCAGCCGTATCATTCTTTCGTTCCTTCTCGATCTTGTTTATTTTTACAGTTTATCAATGGGTAATTAACAGGTATTATCTAATTTTACTTCATTGCAGTCAGCTCGTTGCCAATAAAGGCATCAGCAACCATCCGGTTAAGAAAGCGAAGAAACGTTTCGAACGACACTTCCATGATTGGCATCACCATACATGAAGTGAAAAAAGAAATCAGCAAACAGCAGTTTGAACAACTTATGCCCACCAAGTACTGTAGGTCAAGCGAGAAGGTATGTCCTGCAGGTCCCCCCGGGTGACCTGGTCCCATTGGAGCGAGGAGACCACGTGGCAGGAGGGGACCAAAAGGAAAGAAAGGTCCTCAAGGTCCCATAGGACCTCCTGGAAAATCCGGAAAAACAGGAATGACGGGTCCCGCAGGACCGATAGGAGAAAAGGGAAATAAAGGAAAGCCTGGGCCAAAAGGCATGCCGGGACCACCTGGAAGGCCTGGAAAATCGATATCTGCCCCACAAGTGATGTTGTCGCCGAATAAACAGACTCGAGATGAAGGTGGAAATACGGCGTTTTATTGCACGGTCGTAGGAAATCCTTCCCCAGTCGTGGAATGGCAATTTATGGGCAAAAAACTTCTGTCAGATGCAAAGTATTTGATTAGAGAAGGAGAGTTGATCGTTAGAAATCTGACTTACAGCGATGCTGGACCGTACACATGTGCAGCCAGAAACATTCTTGGATCGTCTGAGGCCACAAGTAACTTATCTGTTCCAAGAACAGAGAAGTATTTTACTTTTGAGGTCTGTTAAATAAGGCCGTTTAATTTTGTTTGATATGTCATTATATGTTTCATGTCCTCGCAAGGTAAGGTTGCGAGAATTGACCATCACTTTTTTAAACATTCAAGGAAACCTGTAAGATGTAAAGACATAGAGCACCATCTTCAATCAATCAATCAAACAATAACTTTTGTTATTAACGTGTCATAGCTTTTAGCGCAACACAAGTGGTGAACTAATCGGGGACACTCCCCGTGACATATTACCTTAGAGTGAGGTAATTGAGCTAGCCTGATGTCTCACTGATGAAACACCGTGTAAAATGCCTGGGACGATTGGTGACCTTTTCACACGCTTTTAATACACCTATTTGCTTGTAGTCGTATCTTCAAATTCTAAAAAAAGACACTGAAATATTTACTAACCAATCATTTGAATTGATTTCTCCTTTCCTTTTCCTTTCTGTTATACAGATAAAAGTTTCCCGAAAAAGAAAAGATCTATGGGTCGTCATCTTTCTCAGTTGCAATCGTTTGGACCATTAGGGCTTTATAGTATAAACCAGATAATTTTTCTTTTCAGGTCTTCCAATCTTCACAAAAGTTCCACCTGCACTTGCCACACCAGTACAAGGCACTACGTTTCAAGTAACCTGTCAAGCAGAAGGCTATCCTCGTCCTGTAGTAACCTGGATTCGAGCGGTGCTACCTTTTCCTGCCGGTAGGACTGAGGTAAACAGGGGTACATTAACCATTAAGAACCTAAACCCGGCTGACAACGGTTTGTACGAATGTATGGCAACAAACAGCATTGGAACGTAGAAGGCCAGGATCAATGTGGCAGTACAACGTAGCTCAGCTGCAGGTTTGTCGTATGCGGCAAGGCAGGGGCGGGTCTAGGATTTTTCTAAGGTGGGGTTGCACCTCTAAGGAATGGCGTAACTGACTGGTGACGTAAAACAGGAGCCTATTACATTAAGCTTTTTCAGTGCCAAACTACCATTTTTACGGCGTTTAACATAAATGCTTCAACTTCGCTTCATGTTTGACTTCAACACCAATAAATCACATAGTTTTATTTGCAGTATACCAGTTGTATTAGAAAGCCGCAGGTCATCTTAGGGGGCTGCAGTGCGCACCCCTACACCCTACCCCTAGATCCGCCCATGTAAGGTCTGCACAGACATAAATTGAACATTTAGTGACATGTAACATAATCCTTAATGGAGACCATGGTTTACAGATCGTAGAGATTGAACAACTGTTAATGCGAAGCGACGGTCATGTTCTTTATTAGCAAATCAAACGTGTCGCTAACTGATCGGGGATATTTAAATACGGAGATCAAAAACTTGCAGGCGACGAAATGATGTGATGTAATCAACTTGATTTATTTCTTGCCAGCGATCAATGATTCTCGTAAACTAAGAAACAAATACAACTAAATGAACTAACTTATAAGGGAAATCAAAATATAAACGAGTAGCGATAGAAACAAAAGACGATAAAACATAATTGTGTACGAAAGGCTTAATGACAAAGTACAAGCTTGTGCATTTTGGGGGCGGAAACCCGCACATGAAGAATCTTATTGTTGTATGGAAAACACTTAACAAATACATCTGTTAACCTAAATAAAACGCTTTATATATTGACTTCCGATGAAGATAAAATTAGTGGAAAGGTAACTGAAATATCCATACTATGGTAAATAACGAAATATGCGAAATTGTTACGAAATGTACACATGTATGCCCACGATTGGACAAATAAAGTACTAAATCAATAACCTAAAGACTAAAACAACAAAAATATCTACGAAAGGAAACGAAAATGATTACTTACATATCTGACCCACACAGTAAAACGTCCAAATAACCAAACGAAACCAATTGAGACAAAACTTATTTTTCTCCTGTATTATGCGAAAACATGCAATCGACTGAAATAAGAGCTATCCAGGGGGAGTATTAGAAACAAAGCAATGACGTAAATGAAACACTGGAAATGAAATGAAACTAAAAATAATGAAAACTAAATGAGAAACTTAACAACAACCATTATATCCAGTTCAAGACAAATTTGTTACGGCACTATCACAACATCACTCAGCCTTCTTAACTTGAATTTGTATAGTACTGACAGTGATGGTCTTTCATATTGCTATTAAATGAGGGTCATTGTTAGAGGTTGTCCTGTGTGTAGCAGGTTCTTAAAGGGAAAGGGGGAGCCTTCACTAGAGTTTGAATTTGAAATACTAAAACCAGACTAAAACGTTCCTCGCCAGAAAATAAAGTGGCACTTGATATCCAGTCTCTTGTCACTTGGATCCCGTTACACTTGACAAGAAAATGAATTAATGAAGAATTTTTAAACAGTTCTACTCATATCCTTGGCCATAACAGTGTTGTTTTGCCAAATAAAAGAAGTAGATTTTGTTTCCTCCCAGGTTTGCACGACTCCGTTATTGTGGGAAGCAACAAAAATTATTTAACCTCGTTAAGCAACTGGCTGGCACCTGTGGCAAAAAGCGTTAATTCTCTCTGGAAACGCTGTTGGCGTGCATCCGTGGACGGCTGGGCTGCAAGTACATTTCACTCCCAATGTGACGGCAAGGGCCCGACTGTGACAATAATAAGGGTCGGGAGATACATTTTTGGAGGATACACCAGTAAATCCTGGCGTAAGTGCGCATTGTAAGGGGCGGTTACCTGTACCTTTGCAGTTACTTGCATGGATATGTTGGGCTAAAAGTGCGATGCAGCTTGATAGCTTGGTACTGAGCAATGTGGAATCAGTTTGACCTTGCATGGTTAAGCAGTAGCTGATAAAGGATTCAGGTTGGCCGATCTAGATTCGGACGCGCACTTACTCGCCCCTCTAAAACCGAGGACCCCCGTCCTCGACTCACAAGGAATTAGCAAATGTGGCAAAAAACAACTACAGCAACAGATTTTTTGTCGATCATGATTTTAACAGATTTGCTCTATACAAGTTACAACAGGAAATATCTAATCACCCGACGTTTTCTTTATTATTCTTCGAATATTTTTTGCTCGAATCTATTGCTTTGTAATTGCAAATTTTTGCTTTTAAACAGCTCTCATAGACGAAAACCTTAGCTATGGTAAGCAAACAGTCTCTTAGGTTTCAGGACCCCGATTGTTAACCTCCCCTCCCGTTCAAAAATTGGCTGCTTGTGGGAGGTTTTATTGTAAGCAATTTTAGTTTAATTTTAAAAATGAAACACTGCAGGCTCCTGGCACATTCTCATGGTTATTTCATCAATAATTTATAAAGCACTTAGCATCTGTAAATTTTGTTCCATTAATTGTATATTACTAGGCGACCCAGTGATTTACATTTTTCGTTTTAATTGGATGTGTTTGGAGTTATTCCTGTCGAGGGTATAGATGTAAGCAGGGTCATGATTAATCATGAGTGGATTTCAATTCAAGGGGTAATCGGCCGTGTATTCCAAAGTGTTTATTTGCTTTTTTAATGTTAACTGGAATGATATATGTTGACAAGAGAAAAAATAAAAAAAATTATTGAGTTCCAAATAGCAATTGAACCCGCGACACCATCCATGACGTATCCATGAGGTATTGGGAACTTTAGTACTGGTTTGGCAAAAAGACAGTGCTATATCGCGCCCTCATTTTTTTGTTTTTGTTTTTTTAATTTTTGTTTTTTTTATGTGTCTGGTGTTCATTCTACAAAACATACATATATCAGTGTGAAGGAAGGTATAAAATATAAACGAACCTTTATCTTGTGGCATGTGTCACTGCACATGACGGGTGCCTTTTGCAAGTGAGTATCAGAAAAATATCCCAAATGTCACTTTTATTCCATCTCTATTTTGTTGTAGGTTCTCGCTCTAGGTATTGGTACGACTCAAACGCCTTTTTATTCTCACTTGTAAACAAGCCAGGATGGGCATCCGTTAGGCTGCCTCAGACAGGGAAATATAGCTCCAGAAGGCAACATTCCATAGAAGATATTCCATCATACGGGCCTGCATTCGGAGGAGGACATGACATGTACATATCAGACTTCGCGTCATCCAATCGCAATTCATATAGTAACCTTGGCTATACTTACAGCCCACCGAGCGGGTACACCTACAGCAGTACCTTCGCCCGAACATTCCTGGCAGGAACATACCAGTTCACACCAGGGGAAATAGAAACGTTTTATGAAACAACGCAAGTTAAATAATTCTAATGAGTTACAACCGGCTTTTTTGTTTAAGTAATAGGCTTGTTATCTTCTTATGCATTATGATAACTGTAACTAAATAATCTCTAAAATCGATTGTCCCAGTGGGCTTACAAGTAAAAAACTCTTTGCGTCTGTATGAAAAGAGGCTAAGAAATGTTAGAGAACATAAATAACAATCCTTATACAGGGAGCTCACTTCACAAAGAGTGATTTTCAGTGAGGCCCCGTAGAGCAATAGAAAAATAAATGATCTTAGATGAATGCGTAACAGTAATAATAAGTAAAACGTTAAGAACTAAAAACCTAAATTATACAAGCTACAGGTTAAAAATGTTAAAACGTCAGATAGATTAAAATATTAAAAGCTATAAAATATCTAAAATATATAGCTTTTAATGTTCTGTCTAAAAAGAAGAAGAAAGTTAATTCCTTTAAAAGATGCGTCTCAGTAAAATGTTCCATTCCTTAGCGCTTTGATACAAAAGGTCTCTGCTTTTCGTAATTCCTTTTAGCGAGAGGAAGACGGAAATCGTTCCTTCTCAGTCTAGTGTTATAACCATGGATGTCTGAGTTTCTCAAAATATTAAATTTGTGATCTACAAGTCCGTGGATGTACTTAAAAGTAGTAATGTATCTATGTACAAGGCGCTCTTGAAACTAAAGGTAGGCCATCCGAGTGTTTTGAGAGCGTCGGTAGATGAAGCATAGTTGGGCAAATCAAGGATAACTTTGGCAGCCTTTAATTTTGCAAGATCTGTAAATCATGCATTAATGTAATATTATCTCTGTCTCCCCAGATGGTATCAGCAAAAAAACATTGTATAATGCGACTCGTCATCCTCTTAAATCAGTTTATTGTGGAGGGCTATCTCAACACGCACTCCTTCTTAATGTTCTAAATTACTATCTTGTTAATGATGTTGTTTGAATGTGTTCTTCGAGAGCTTTTGCCGACTGATATTATAGTAAGTGGTATTCTAAAATTATAGGCTTAAACATTCAGTCAGTGAAGAAAAAAGTTACTTATAATAAGATATTGTCTTAAAATAAACAAGCTGCAGCCCTCGTGAGATCAAACATTACATGTTACATCATCTAAAATAATCGCTATCTCAAATCTTTAAGGCCCATAAGCCAAAAAATAACAAGTTTTTCTAAGTAATTCGGGTACTTATAGACGGGAACCAAAAATCTATGTTTTTTAAGTTGTTTTTCTACCAGAATTTTGACGATATAAAATCATTATGGAATGCCGCTGGTAAGGTTAAAATGATGCAACAGAAAATAGCCAGTGTGTAAATCTGCAAACTTAGAAGTGTTTGATTAGAATCGAGGGACTTTCATCTTGTTTCAGTTTGCATAGTTAATAGAAAGTTGTTCATTTTTGAAAATGAAGTTGAAATAATGACCCTTTGGTGTTCCATGTTTCTATCAATACGATCCTAAGGCCTTTTTATTTTCAGTTGTGAACAAACCAGGCTGGGAACCAGTTAAACTGCCTCAAACAGGAGAAAATAGTGCAAAGCAACAATTTTTGGTTGAGGCTTTTGTGATATTCGGAATAATCGAGGTCTTGGTAAGTTTCCGCCTTCAGCTCGATTAATAACTCTTACCTCAACCATGATTTTCCCGCCGAATATGACAAAAACCTCATCTAACTAATAAAACTGTTTAATATTTAATTCGGAAATTCATTACTGCCTGCCTGGTTCCGAATTTAATGGCTAAATCTTTCTCGTTTTAAATTTTACATTTTAAGGCTCCCACTGTTTAGCAGACTGTGATAACATGTTGTTATCGACAATGCAAATAACTTTCTATTCAGTTCTTTTGTAGCATAATGGGGGAGGGAGGGGGGGAGCAAGTGTGTCTCGTAATTGATCAGTTATCAAAGTTCAAACAGTTAGAACCGCTGCCATATTGAGTGAAACATAAAAAACCGCTCAAAACGATGATAAAAAAAGGGCATAAATAACACAGCTACCGAAAAACTCAGTTACTATTGAAGCGGAGTGCAATTCGGGTTTTTTGCAATTTTTGTTTTGGTATTTGTTTATTTATTGGTTTAATTTAGTCTTCTCTTTTTCTTTTTGGTTAGAGCATAAAAAATTGGCATTTTGAGGCGAACACCCGATAAAAGACCGACGCCTCTTCCTAGATATTCTCACTTTTTTCAGGTTCTTGGTTGGAATCGTGCAGTTATGCTGACACAGCTGTGCACCTCGCATAATCACTGAGGAGTTAACAATATTCTCAAACTCATTAATAATTCATAAAGAAAATTCAAAGGAAATTAATGTTTAATGAGTGTTTGGATATCAGATGAAAAACTGCTCATTTTTGCATCCTTAATTTCTCCTTCAAAAATGATTTTGTTTGAGAAGAAATATCAAACATTCGACACAGTGTTTCATCACCAGATGAAACACCTCGAAGTTCGTCAAAAATACTCCGCTACGCGTCGTATTTTCAACTCTCTTCTCGGTGTTTAATCTGGTGATGAAACACGGCGTCTCATGTTTGATATATTACATCATTAACAGTCAAGTAATAATAAATAAACAAACCGAGGCACCTGAATAAGCAAGAAGAGAACACAATAATAAGCAAGAAGAGAACACAAAAGTCTCTAATAAGAACTTTCATTTACAAGTTAAAGATAGCCTACTCATGCAGCATTAATTAAAAGGAGGTGATCAAGTAAAAATATCTAAAATAAAGAAAAAAAGAATATAATCTCAAAACCATTGCTCTATCGAGAAAAATTTGGGCATTTAGATCGATACATTTTTTTACGTTTAAAGTAAATAGGTCATTAATAATAATATATTTACTAAAAGCGAAGCGGCTATTTTAAATATTAAGTAATTATCTTATAAAAAAAGTTGAGTTACCAAGAAAGGACACTGTTACCATGCAATATGACAAGCTCCTTAAAAATTATCTGCAAAATATTTCCGTTTTTTTGGCATTGTTAAAAGTACTTCATAGTTTTATAAGTGAATGAAACTGTTTACTTTTGTCTTTCGCCAGGATAAGAGAAAGGTTTGATTGAAAAAGCTAGGCTACCTTAGTTTCATAGCAAGGGAAGGTGTAATTCATATAATGTTTTGCGTGGCTCAGTAATGGAATAACTCTTTCTAAGATCTTCGTTGTGCCTCCTTCTTTTGCACACCCCCGGTCCCTCCCTCTCCGAGGAATTTAATCTGCTATATGGCGCTTATATTATTGGCTATTACGTTAAAGATGAACAAAGGGGTAAGGTTTCTAAAGAAACTGTGGTGTAGCGTCAGTGGGGTAGTGAAGTACAAAGATTGTTTTTATCAAAGGTTTATAGAAAAGATTGGCGACCGTGGGGAATTGGGAAGCTGGTAGTTTCGAGCACTAGCCCTAGCCTCGTCAGAGCGAATCAGAGGATTATGGCCTGTGAGATGTTTACAATTAGAGGTTTGGAGAATTACCATGCTGTTTTTCCCGTTACATGCCAATTTCCATGTTCGGCTGTTCATTGTGTGCTAGCTGGTGGTAGAAAATCTAGCAGAGCTCAATTAGATATGCAATTTTAGCCCATAGTTTTCTCATCACTTGCTTTTTTTTAATTCAGATGCACCACAGTGTCAGGACTATACGGTTCTTAGTGAACCTAATCGACAGCAGTCCCTTGGCTATGGTAGTAACTCAGACAACAGACTTGTCCCCTGCTGGTACCGCTTCCAGTCAAGTTCATATTCAAATGCAGCTCTGATCTGACTGGGTGGCTGAATGGCGAGCATCCCACCTTTGAAGATATAGTATCGTGGGGAGGGAAGTTTGTTTCCACGGATTATTAAACTGTTGTTACAGGACAGTTCAGATACGCGTTAGAGAGTGTCAAGGTTACTATGTGTATGAGTTAAACGGTCACCTACCGAAAGGTTTAGCCGCTATTGTGCAAGCGCGCGAACGTTATCGGGCGCTTTAAGCATAAGTCAAGATCCGATTAACGGACAGCACGCGTTAATAAAAAAACTAACTGTTTCATGAAAATAAAACCAAAAAAGGGCAATGAGTTATTTTCTTGCCCAAGAGCTCAAATCAGTACCCCCGCGTAAGCGTTGAAATACTAACCTGACGGTTGGTGCGCTTAGTCTGTCCTAGGCGCTTGGAAGTAGTAGACACTGCTAACAAACAACATGCACTAGTAAAAGACGATGTCAAGCAGCTGTCATTGTAAATATAACAAAAATGGACAACGAGTTACTTAACCCGCACATGCGTTGTGTGGCACTTAGAGAGGGGTGGCTAAGTCTGGCGCCATTAACCTTAACTACACAAGATAAACATAGTGACGTTCAACTAGAATCTTAATCAAACTAGTTGTAGAACTGGCTCAGTACTAACACATCCACAATCTTGAAAAAAATGTTGAGAAAAATGGACGATACTACGTCTGGTTTCGAGATAAAGCTTGAAAGCGCTGGCAACTACAGATACTCAATCTCCCCTCCCCACCAAAAAACAATGTTGAAGCGCGGCTGGATCATTTCATTTCATCCCGAATAAACAAATTTGACCAGGGTGGGGCGAGGGGAGGGGCCATAGTGGTACCAAATCCGCGGAGTAGGCGTTCTGTGGGTACGAAAGTGCAAAATCTCAACACTTTTTGTCCAAGATTGTAACGTATGAAGTGCATATATTGCCGCTAAATAATTAGGTAATCCCAGTTTGCAAGGGAATGTTTCCACTATTCAATACAGTATGTTTGCCAGCGAACATAAACTCCCATGGTCCAGTTCACGCAATATGCAAGAGAAATCACTCTAATGAAAATGATATTGTTAGAAGGCGTGAGGAAGAAAGTTAATTAGGGACAGACCAATAGGAAAGTTGCATGAATTTTTTTCGTTACCTTTTTTTTGTATTCATTTTCTTAGGCCAAAGCATGAATATTTTTTGGCGTTACTTGGAGTGCACTAATTTTATTCATTTAGTTTTCCCTTGCACGAATATTATATTTTTGTACTTCACCTCCAACCTCCCCCATTAAGGTTTTCATGGTCCGCGCGTGGCCCCTTGCCATCCCTATAAAGACTTGTTTTTTTTTTTTTTACGTCAACGTTAATGACATGTTTCTCTAGGCGAAATTTTTAAGGATCAAATTTACTGGCAAGTTTCCCACTCACCTCCATCTTCCGTGCATGGGACGATTGGCAAGCTGCAGAAATGAAATCCTCGAACTCCCCGGCAGAATCTCGTCGTCTCCTTGATTTTGTTCCGTCAATAAGACCATCGTTTCTTTCTGTTGTATTAGTTTTCGTTTGCGGATGTCTCTGGGTGAAGAATGAAACAACAAACGAACGACTGATAGCGCTGGAATCTCGCGTTAACCTTTTCCCCTGCGTTCAGAGTGTCGCGACTGAAAATCCTGACAGGATATCTCTTTCACCGACAGAAGCTACAGCAAGAGATCTTTATAAGAAGGTTCAGACACATGTATCCGAAAGGATCCGTTATACATCAGGTAAGATCTTCTCTTCAGATGTTATTTAGATACAGATACATGTTTAGAACCTAGAACTGAGTTTATCCTCTTTTGATTTAGGTATAATCTTTCATGGTGTGAGTTTGCGCTTACATACGGGATCTTTGGATATTGCATAAGATAATTGAATTTTTAACTTCAACTAACACTGTATAAACCCTTTTGCAACACTCTCGCTCTGTTGTAATACTGCTTAGATATTAACTAAGACACCTATACTGGTAAAACAATAAAGAAATTTTCGGTGTAAATGATGTTGAATTCATAGTTTAAGTGTCGAACGACTTGCTCACGTGCATGATATGTGGTCAATATTCAGGGGGTACTCCTTTATAATTTTAAAAGCCATACAATTATGTGGGGTCACAAAGAGTGTAGTTCTTGGCCCTTTTTGGTCTGAAAACGCTGGTATAAACGTAGGTCATTTTGGTCTGGAATCGGGTTTGGTTTTCGAGGAACCTACTGGAGCGTATGCATGAACGTAGTTATCGTTTCAGTTCCACATGAATAAGAACGAAATAGAAATACGTGAATTCGAAATGCATTTGAACAATTTTTTTGTTTGCGCTCTAATCTAAGTAATGATGACACAATTTCTGTTTAAAGGCCAGATCTAAAAACGGGTGCGGATTTTAGAGGACTGCATGGTCTGAAAGCGGGTGTGGAAAATTCAGTCTGAAATAGCACTGTCTGGATAAAATTGTTAGGGTGGTGTAAAATTTGAGATATTTTTTTAAATGCCTCTAGAGGAGAGTTCGGTTAAGGATTCCTAGGGCTTGCCGGTTTACTTGATAAAACCTTTGGTAACTTTGATAGGGTGGCAAGATTGAAAGTACGTTTATTGAACGGTCTCAGTTGGTTTAAAACCCGGGTGGGGAGGGACTTCCTTATAAGAGGCTACTAGGGATGTGCCACTGGTTAGGGCCGCATTTTCACGACTGGATTGACTATAATGGGGTTGCATTTTCAATAGAATTACTAGAATGGGGTCGCACATTTTCGGATTTTTTGTGGTAAGACAGTTCTTATTTCCGGTTCGCAAACTTACCAGAATGTTTGTTCTGTAGATGAAAAGTAAAGTGTTCTTCATACAGTGTAAAAAATGGGTAAATTCATAAAAATAAAAAGTTTGGAACGCGAAAAATTCATATTTGCCCAAAAGTGACTAAGATATAGGGTCTATAATTAATCACACAATAGACTATAATGGGGTAGGGGCTCTTAGAGGCCAGCGGCACATACCCAGCAAAAATTTACCCAAGTTCCCTTCCCCCGGGGTTTGAAATTTGTGCGTAGAACTAGAAATCTAGAATGTCAGGAAGCAGCAAGGGAAGAGGAGTGAGGACAAATTGAAAAGCTGTTAACCTTGTTGTTGAACGCAACTTCCAAAACGTTAATTTTATGTTAGGAATGTCAACCTTATCATTCATTTCGTTGATTTGTTCGTTATATTTTCTCCCTTATTTATTTTTAATATTAATCACTGGATATTAAAACATTTCTTGATCTTACTTTACTGCAGTCAGCCCGTTATCAATAGAGGCATCAGCAACCATCCGCTTAAGGAAGCGAAGAAAAGTTTTGAACGACACTTCAACTCGCATCACAATACATGAAGTGAGAAAAGAAATCAGCAAACAATTTGAACAACTTATGCCCACCAAGTACTGTAAGTCAAGTGACAAGGTATGTCCTGCATGTCCCCCCGGGTATCCTGGTCCCATTGGAGCGAGGGGACCACGTGGTAGGAGGGGACCAAAGGGAAGGAAAGGTCCTCAAGGTCCCATGGGACCTCCTGGAAAACCCGGAAAAACAGGACTAACTGGTCCTGCAGGACCGAGAGGAGAAAAGGGAGATAAAGGTCCTCAAGGTCCCATGGGACCACCTGGAAAATCCGGAAAAACAGGAATAACTGGTCCTGCAGGACCGAGAGGAGAAAAGGGAAGCAATGGGGAGGCAGGGGAGCCTGGGCCAAAAGGCATGCCGGGACCACCTGGAAGGCCTGGAAAATCGATATCTGCTCCACAAGTGATGTTGTCGCCGGCAGAGCAGACACGAGATGAGGGAGGAAATACAGCATTTTATTGCACGGTCGCCGGAAATCCTTCCCCAATCGTGGAATGGCAATTTAAGGGCAGAAAGCTTCTGTCAGGTGCAAAGTATTTGATTAAAGAAGGAGAGCTGATCGTGAGAAATCTAAATTATAGCGATGCTGGGACGTACACGTGTGCTTCCAGGAACATTCTTGGATTGTCCGAGGCCACTGGTAACTTGACTGTTCGAGGTAAGAACATAATTGAAACTTCCGAGATTTACACACCCAGCTGCTGATTGATCATTTTTATGCGTGTCTCCGTTGTGTACGCTCACAAACGGCCGGGATTGCATCCTTCTCTTGTTTAACTGGTTTCCACTAGTTAATTGATTTCGTTTTGCGTTATTCATCCTTTTGTGTATTTCTGGTTTCACCGTTAAACTAGACCGGAAGCATGCTTCTGACTTAATATAGGGTAAAACGTCTCAAACTTTACATCGTGTAGAAGCTCCGTTTTCTAATAGTTCTCAGTAGTTTCTATTCTTTGTTATACGGTTTGTACTTGTTTTCATTGTAAGGTTTTATGTTTTTTCCCTAGGACTTCCAATACTCACAAAAGTTCCACCACCACTTGCCACGCCAGTACAGCGCACTACCTTTCAGGTAGTTTGCCAAGCTGAAGGTTTCCCTCGTCCCGTGATAAACTGGAGTAGAGTGGGAATGTCTTTGCCAGCTGGAAGGACTGAAGTAAACCAAGGAACACTAACTATTAAGAACTTAAGTCCTGCTGACAGCAGTTTGTATGACTGTGTTGCTACTAACATTATGGGAACAAAGAAGGCCAGGATCAATGTGGCCGTACAACGAAAACCAGGTTTGCTCTATTTATTTGGCGTAGGGTGGTGGCAAACACCACTATCAGCAAATGGTCATTTTCGTTTGCCCAAACTTTCTAGTTCTAGTTACATCTATGAGGTGGAAATAATTTATCTTGTTTTTATAAACAGTTTAAATAATGACATCAGTTTTGTCCTCATTACTTGAGTTTCTTGCGGCTTTTAGAAGGACTGATATCATACAGTCAAACTTGTAAGGGAACCTGACTATAACTAATAAGCGGTCACTTATACCAAATCTCAGAGATCATTTTCCTCAATTACTTTAAACCTAAACTGAATAAGCCGTCACCTTAGTCCAGAGCCGTAGCTAGCGGGGGGGAGGGGGCAAGGGGGGCAGATGCCCCCCGGACCTGTTGAGCCAGAGACATCAAGTCTTTGGATGGATTTGTTTGCTTTAGACTCAGTTGTTTTGATTATAGTGACTTGCAATTGTTTGCCGTTTTCATATTCGAGGTCGATTTTTCGGAGACTTATCTCATGACAAGTGCTCAAAATAGCGTTGGGGAGCCTCCAAATTTGAAAATTTCTTGGGGGAGGATACCCCCAGACCCCCCTACAAGGCTCATGGCTTCTGCACTCGCGAAAATGCCCCCGTTACAAAAAACCGGCTACGGCCCTGCTTAATCTATTAAGCGGTCGTCAGGTCACTTTTTGAAAGGCTTCAACGAGTTTGACAGCGAATGGCTTCACCTCTGTTGAACGGTCACTGTCGTTGTACCGGTGCATCAGATATCTATATCTAATTTATTGTTCAATAGTATATTTAATGAACCCTCTAGTTTTAGCTTCTTAGATTTTAGATTTTATTTCTGTAAATTTTATGTAATTAGTTAATTGTGTCTGAAAAGCCCTGTAAAGGGAAACTCAATAAAACGTATGTGTGTATGTGTGTGTATATGCGTGTGTATCTATGTATGTATCAGTATAATTACTTCCGTCTTTTTCATAAGGAAAAGGTAATAGCGCAACTACTGTACCCGATACTTTTTGGAAGTTCACGAAAGTCCCGATAATTAACGGGCCCGGTAAGCTGTATCCGTTTACATTAAAGGTCGAGGTTTCAATAGTTTTGCATCTAACGTGAAAAAACTATCAGTTAATGAAACAAAATGGAGTAGTTTGCTAGCTAGGACACGCGTTCTTATCATTTATATTTCGATTTGAATATTTGATTTCGGTTCCGAACGTTTCCGCGACTTTCGAGAAACGGGCCCGTGTCTCCTTAAGTGCTGAAAGCGATTCACTTTCAGCACTGAGGTACCAAGATTAAACTGTCGTTTTAACGTAAACTAAAGGTAGAAACACTTTGAGGTGTATTTTTCCTATGATGGATATTTTGCTTAGTCAAATTATGCACTTATAATGTGTATATTAATACTGATTTTGTATGTCGATAACTCAACAATGACAAAATTCGATGTTATAACTTCCAAAGAAAGTCCGATCCTGGCCAGTTTCAAAGAAACGGAATTGTCATTACACCATTTAGTGCTGATTGTTCTTTTTCAGATTTAGAAGACTCTGTTACCGTGGGAAAGAGCAAAAATCATTTGAGAAGTTTAAGGAGCTGGCTATCCCCTGTAGTTCGAAGCGTGAAATCTGCTTGGAAGCGCTGTTGGCGCGCATCCGTGGACGGCTGGGCTGCAAGTACATTCCACTCCCGATGTGACAGCAAGGGCCCGACTGTGACAATAATAAGGGTTGGGAGATATATTTTCGGTGGATACACTAGTATTTCGTGGGGTAAGTGAGTAAGTTAGTATTAATATGAAAGTTAAATTAAAGTGCAGCTTAGTAAGTGGGAAATATGAAATCAGTTAGCCCTGTCAGTTTCAATGCATGGTTAAACATTAGCGGATAAAGGTTCATGTTCGATGGATTCTTTCCTCAAATCTCACACGACTTCCTGCACAACAAAAGATTGCTGGGTTTTATTAGTGGTCCACGACTGTATCAAGAAAACCCTTTTCAACTTTCTTTACATATTTCGCGTTTAAGAGCTATCGGGAAAAAGTAGATCGTTGACTGGAGAACTTATTAGACAGAAATGAAAGCAAGATGACCACATAGCGGCTCGTTATATAAAGGGAATTATAAGACGTTAATTTCGGGACCCAGCTTAGTGTCCGCTTAATAGAAGGTGTCCCCTTAATTGGGTAGCCGCTTAATAGAGGTTTCATTGTATGTCCAAATTTGTAAAAACTGAGGAGTAAATCTGGAACAAAGATGGTAATTGCCACATTTGCCTAGTTATTTACACCCCCTGTTCTTGGTATGCAATTGTGGCATTTACTTTATCCATTTTTGTTCCAGTAATTTATATTACTAGACGCCTCAGTGGGTTTAATTGTTCTTAATTGCATTTTGTTTGTTTTGATCTGATATCTTTGGACTGCGTTGGACTTATTCTTGCCACGAGTATAGCTGTATCTTTTGCGAAAATACCTACACATAAATAATAATAAAATAAATAATAATAATAATAATAATAACAATAATAATAATAATAAAGGAAAGGTCAAAACTGAGAAAAAATATCGTTTGATAAATGACGTACGTTAGAGCAACTCGATCGAATTTGGTTTATGATAATAAGGTATTTGTTGTTTTTAATTAACAATCATCATCATCATCATCATCATCATCATTATTACAGGCACAAGGACAATGTCGCTAACTTATCTTAGAAAAGTTTTGTTTCATTTCTTTTAGCTTCTGGTTCTGGCCGATATCAATACGACTCAAAAGCCTTCTTATTTTCGCTGGTAAACAAGCCAGGATGGGCGCCTGTCAAATTGTCTCAATCAGGGCAATCTAGTTCTAGCAAACTTTCCATATACTTTCTCTCATCCTACGGGCCTACATTTGGAGGAGGACATGACATTAACATCAAAAACTACGCGTCATCTAATAGCAATTCTTACAGCAACCTTGGCTGGACTTACAGCCCACCGAGCGGGCACAGCTACCACAGCACCTTCGCCAAAACATTCCTGGCAGGAACTTACGAGTTCACACCGGACGAAGTTGAAACCTTTTACGAAACAACCTAATTAATATAATGCGTGACACTGGCTTTGATATTTGAGATGAGCTGATTGTACAAGTAGACGCTCAGAGGTGAAAGAATCTACAGCTCTAAGCAAGCCCCTTATATCTAAATCAGAACACAATCATTAGAACGTATACTACAACATGTTACAAAGAAACGAAAAATAGAATAGTCAGAAACTGGTCCAACTGCGCTGATCTTTTTTCACCTGGATACGAGTCTGGGGGCAGCTATAGTGTCATCTGTCAGAAAACAGTTACTTCCTTATCATGAGGGTAACGAAATCTCAGCTTCCGAGTAAACAAATTGTTGAAAAAAAAATGCAATACAGTGATATTTTACTGAATCAGGCTGTCCTCACTGCTTTGTTGCCCAATGCGATACCACTAATATTAGTAATCAAAAATTAAGATTACTAATGGCTTAATGGGGCAACACTATCTCATATACAGGAATAGACTGCTTGCAGTCACGTGACAATACCGATCACTTTCTAGCAGTGTAGTAATTAACACTGACTGCCAGCGTTGGGTTACTAGCTCATGTAAGCCCTACGTATAAAATCTGAGATACATCAGCATCCTTTATGACTGACCTATTATATAAAATATTAAGGGACTTGTCAGAAATTAGGAGGGAGGAAGGGAGGTGGAAAACAGGGGAGGGTTGCAGCTTTTTAAGCCCTTCAAAAGGGAGGGTGATGAGAAAAATGACAGGAAAAGAGGAAGGGTCACAAAAAAATAAACCACCGCATGCATATTATGTTTTACAAGAATACAAACCACTTACGAGAATCATGACATGCGATTATTTCCTGACACACAGTTCAACCTCCATTGAGCGGCCACAGACACCTTTTGGCCATCCCAATGAGAGTTTTGTTTGTTGTTACCTCTATTAAGCAGCCATGCATTAAGCGCTTGATACACATACCTGGGCTTTATTTCAAGAATACGATGAAGGAAAATACAGTCCGAGATTGAAGTTGACGGGTATGGGCCTATGGGCTCTGCATCATGGCTCTTGGCTGGGGTGTAATGGTTCTCATAATTATCAGGTTACAGTTAGCCTTCATTTTGTTCTATTTTTCTTTCTTTTTGCCTGCATTTTTGTGACTTAATTGCCCCTGTGTGGAGCATCACTTCAAGTGTTCTCTGCTGAAACAACATTCAGAAGAATAACTTTTTACGCGAAAATTGTCTGATCTTAGTGAATCTGTCTTTGCTTCTTATAGTCCTTAAGAAGAAACTATTATTATCCCATTGAAACCAAAAACTTTCTTTTGCGCTGTTTTCCCAACAAAAAAAAAAACACTTACATCTTCGACATAGGTCAGTTTTAATACAAGTTTGCTTTTTTGAAAGTACTGAATTATTTTCCTTGTACCACTGTAACTGAAAAGTGGGACTTATTCAGGGGAGGGTCATAAAATTGTAAAATGCTTTCCAGGGGAGGGTCGGGACATTTTAATCCCTTACCTGAGGAGGATCATTTTATTTTCATCGCTTAACTGAAAATCTCCACCTCTCCTCCCCCCTGCTAATTTCTGACAAGTCCCTAATAAAATATACCCCTGTAGGAAATTTCTACTGATAATAAATAGAAAAAAGATCACTTTTACGGGCTAGTATTAATTGTTAATGTACAGATCAGACAAGAATTAATAATAATTAATAAAATAATAATTTAAAATATAGTATCTGTTGGAACTTTGACCACGTTTGAGTGCAACAGGAGAAAGGTTAACAACCGGCAGAGCAGCCCGGCTCACGTCAATCTAATGTAAGCTAATTTACTACACTTGTTTTTATGGGCTTAAGGAGAGGGGATCGGGTTTAACTTGCAACTTTCCCTCAAGCTTGGAGTGACTGTGACAGAAAACAAGAACTGAATTAAATAAATTACTCATGCTCGAATGTTTGTTACAAAAAGAGAAACTTTATTCCCTCCACGTTGTCAAGAATGAAGAATAAAGACAATGGTCATCTGGTCAACCTCTTGCCTTTCCTGTAAACGTGATGTTTGATTTCTGCAATTATTTTAGAATACGGAAACTGTTAGAACTTTGACCACGTTTGAGTACAACAAGAAAAAAGTTACCGCCTACGTCAATCTAATGTAAGCCAACACTCTTGTTTTTCTGGGCTAAATCAGAAGCGGATCAGGTTTATATAAGTTGCAACTTTCCCTCAAACTCCCGTCTTCGAGTGGCTGTGAAAGAAAACGATCGTAAAACTACAAAAATGAAAACAGTAAACTCTTCAAAATCTCAACGAGTCCTTGAGTTTGTTCCGTCAATTAGACCATCGTTCCTTTCAATGGTATTAGTTTTCGTTTGCGGATGTCTCTGGGTGAAAATGAAGCAACAAACGAACGACTGATTTCACTGGAATCTCGTGTTTACGGTGTTCCTTGCACTAAGCGTGGCACGATTGATAATCTTGACAGGATGACTTTCTCACCGACAAAAGATATCGCAATAGACCTTTCCAAGAAGATGCAGACACAAGTTTCAGATGATGGGAACGGCTATACCTCAGGTAAAATTTATTTTTACTCTGCTTACTTGGATGGCCTTATGTACTTTGAGGATGTTTAGACCTGCTTTTATCCTCCCTCGGTTAACACATAACCTTTCATGACGTGAGTTCGCGTTAACAACACGGGATCTTTTGCAATTCCAAAATAGTATCAGATTTTAACTTAGTCTGACTTAGACTGACAGGAACATTCTTGGATCGTCTGAGGCCACTAGCAACTTGACTGTTCGAGGTAAGAGGAGCATTTAAGTTAGAGTTTTGTTATATCTGGCTGCTTGATTTTGTAGTCTTCTTTGTGCTCAGAGAATGCGAGAATAAGAGGTTGGAATATATAAATGACTTTTATCTCTTCTTTCATTTTTTTCTTATTTCTTAAGCAGTGTAAAAAGCCAAACTTTAAATTTACTCACTCATACCTTGTGCTAATGATCAAGGACTATAGATTTTGCTCATTGGCATTAGGCTAGTAGTCACGAGAGTAGTTCAACGTTTAATCTGAGCCATACAAACATAAAGACAATAATTAATATTAAAGATACTAACACATGACAGGAATATTTGGACCTTACATGAACGCGAGGGCACACAACACCATCCTTCTCCTCCTCTCTTTTTAGCTTAGACCACCAGGGGAGGTTACTTAGGTTAATTTTTGCTGGATATGGGCCGCTGGTCTCTCAGACCTCCTAACCCATTATGCTGGTAGATCATGCATTGGCTCTATTTCAGGTCTTCCAATCTTCACAAAAGTTCCACCTTCACTTGCCACACCAGTTCAAGGCACTACGTTTCAAGTAACATGTCAAGCTGACGGATATCCTCGCCCCGCGGTAACCTGGACTAGAGCAGCAATGCCTTTACCTGCTGGAAAGACTAGTATAAACCAAGGCACACTTACCATTAACAACTTAAGTCCTGCTGACAACGGTTTTTACGACTGCTTAGCTACTAACATTATGGGAACAAAGAAAAAAAGAATCAACCTAGCAGTTCAAGCGCCTCGTTCAGGTTTGTATTGAAGGCACCTTCTCACCATGTATATACCTGATTTAATAAAAGGTTGCTTTGGCAATTGGGCACTAAGCTTTAGGCGTACTGAACTTACTGCAATGAATTGCTTGAGCGTCCACCAAACAATAGCTTCCCAGCGCGCAATTATACAATGCCCAAAGCAAGAATCAGGTACCCTTAGACCAGTAATGCAAATCTTCTTATCCAGCTTGCGATCTTGGTTAAACACCAAATAAGAGTGTTAAAACATTATGAAAGACAGTTTTTCGAAAGTCTAACTTTGCCACTGCGAGAACTAAACGGCTATACCGAAATCTATCGCAGGCGGATCTATTCGAAGACTGCCTTTTTTTCATTTTTGTTTTTGTTGTTTCTTTGTTTGTTTGTTTGTTTGTTTTTCAGGCATTCAAAAACCATCTAATCACTGCTAAAGCCAGACGAGAGCTACTATCATTGCGAGTGTATGTTGCGCGTACAGAAATTTGCAACTTAAGCGAATTATGCGTGTTTACTAGAGTTTCAACGATCTTAAATGCTTAATCTTTCTTAAAAGCGCGCAAATCACGTACATGCATGCATACATGATATCTTTAGTCACTTGCAATGTTACTACTTTTCTCAATAACATTTTCTTTTTCTCTTTTTCTAAATAACATTCCAAAAACTTTTTACCTGTCCATAAAATAATTGTTTTCAATTGTCATTTTATGGACGTGGACTTTTAATGCTTAGGTTTTGAAAGCTCAGTCATTGTGGGAAACAACAGAAATCACTTGACCTCGTTAAGCAACTGGCTGGCACCTGTGGCAAAAAGCGTTAATTCTCTTTGGAAGCGCTGTTGGCGTACATCCGTGGACGGCTGGGCTGCAAGTACATTTCACTCACGATGTGACAGCAAGGGCCCGACTGTGACAATAATAAGGGTCGGGAGATATATTTTCGGAGGATACACCAGTATTTCATAGGGTAAGTGAGCATATAGGCCATGGCGGTGGCATTTATACCTTCGGCGTAATTGGCATTGATATGTTCAGCTAAAAGTGGAGCTTGGTACTTAGCAATATGGAGTCATGTAACTCTACCTTTCCTACATGGTTAAGTAGTGGCGTACAAAGCTTCCAGGTTAATAGCTCTAGATGCAGGCCCTTATCCCCTCGTTCCTCAAGGGGCGAGGACCACCCCTCCTACACTCATATGATGTGAATGAGCGCCACCCCCCACCCCCCACCCTTTCTCTAGAGGTCTGGTTTTGCAGATGATAAGTGATGCATTTCTAGCCTGTCAAAACGTGCCCAAATTCCAGGCTACTACTATTATAATAATTTTGAGGTTATAAAATATCAATATTGTTCTGACTTTCTTGCCACCCTGCTATCTTCCTCCCTCAGATCCCATATTGCAAAAGTAACGACTAACGAACTTCACCACAGGTTTTTGGTGAAATTCGCAAATTTTGGCAAAGAAAAAACAAGCTCTTTTGACATGTCCACGTACGTGATACACCAAGACGAAGGTTCATTTCACCGATCAAACTTTCGTAATTTCGCCTGAGCGAAATGTCGCGAAGAGGATTCTTCTCTTCGGATTCGAACGAACTTAATAGACTGAAATGGGTGACAGAAATATATAATGTTTTATACTTTTTCAAGGATAAAGCTCCTAAAACTCTTTATTGTCTGTTTCCTTTATTGTCTTCTTAATACAGTACCCTTAAAATCGAACGAAGTATTAATGTAAAAATAAAAGTGTATTGCGACATACAACAGTTCATGTAAAAAAAGGAGCTTCTAGCTTCGGCAAGTGGTAAAAAAGACAAAAACAGATAAATTTGGAGATTTGCTCCATAAAGTTATAAGAGAACATATATCATTAATTACTAATTTTTTTCCCCGATCTGTTGCTTGTAATTGTAAACCTTTTAAAATTAACATCTCCCACAGGCCGACACCTCAGCTTCGGTGAGCTTGCAGCCACATAAAACTCTCTCCTGAGCGGACGAACCACGCTTGTCATGATCATGAGTATAGCTGTATCTTTTACCAAAATACCTGCACGTAAATAATAATGAAATAAAATAATATTCATACTAATAATAATGATGAAGATGATGATGATAATAATAATAATAATAATATAATAATAATAAAAATAATAATATTGATAATGATAATGATGATAATAAAGAAGACAGAAACTGATTTCGTTTTTGATAAATGACGAACGTTACTGAGGAACTCGATCGAATTTGTTTTATGAGAATAAGGTATTTACTGTTTTTAATTAATAATAATAATCATCGTCATCATTATGACAGGCACAAGGACAACGTCGCTAACTTATCTTAGAAACGTTTTGTTTCATTTCTTTTAGCTTCTGGTTCTGGCCGGTATCAATACGACTCAAAAGCCTTCTTATTTTCGCTGGTAAACAAGCCAGGATGGGCGCCTGTCAAATTGTCTCAGTCAGGGCAATATAGTTCTAGCAAATATTCCACATTCTTTCGCTCATCCTATGGGCCTACACTCGGAGGAGGACATGACATTCACATTTCCAACTACGCGTCATCTAAGAGCAATTCTTACTGCAACCTTGGCTGGACTTACAGCCCACCGAGCGGGTACAGCCACGACAGCACCTTCGCAGCAGCATTCCTGGCAGGAACTTACATGTTCACACCAGACGAAGTTGAAACCTTTTACGAAACAACCTAATTAATATAATGCCTGGCACCGACTTTGATATTTGAGCTGAGATTATTGTACAAGTAGACGCTTAGAGGTGAACGAATCTACAGCACCAAGCAAGCCCCTTATATCTAAATCAGAACACAATCATTAGAACGTATACGACAACATTTTACAAACAAACGAAAAATAGAATAGTCAAAAAGAGAAATGATTTTGATATCTACAACTGGTCCAACTGCGCAGATCTTTTTTTACCTGGATACGAGTCTGGGGGCAGGTATGCTGTCATCTGTCAGAAAACAGTTGCTTCCTTATCATGAGGGCAAAGAAATCTCTGCTTCCAAGTAAACAAAGTTGAAAAAAAAAAAAAAAACATTACAGTGATATTTTACTGAACCAGGCTGTCCTCACTGCTTTGTTGCCCAATGCGATATCACTAATATTAGTAATCAAAAATTAAGATCATTACTAATTGCTTGATGCGGCAACACTATCTCATATACAGGAAAAGACTGCCTGCGGTCACGTGACAATCCCGATCACCTTCTAGCAGTGTAGTAATTAAAATTACCAGCGTTGGGTTACTACCTCATGTAAGTCCTACGTATAAAATCTGAGGTACATCAGTATCCTTTATGACAGACCTATTATATAAAATATTATTAAATAAAATATACCCCTATAGGAAGTTTCTACTGATAATAAATAAATAAAAGACCACGTTTATGGGCTAGTATTAATTGTTAATGTCCAGACAAGAATTAAAATTCAATAAAATTACTCATGTTTGTCATAAAAAGAGAGCTTCATTCTCTCAACGTTGTCAATAATGAGGGTTAATGGTCACGTCGTCAAACTTGTTTCCTTTCCTGTAAACGTGATGTTTGATTTCAGCAATAATTTAAAATATGGTATCTGTTGGAACTTTGACCACGTCTGATTGCAACAGGAGGAAGGTTAACAACCGGCAGAGCAGCCCGGCTTACGTCAATCTAATGTAAGCTAATTTACTACACTTGTTTTTATGGGCTTAGTGAGAAGGGATCAGGTTTAACTGTCTTGCAACTTTCCCTCAAACTTCGAGTAACTGTGACAGAAAACAAGAATTGAATTAAATAAATTACTCATGCTGGAATGTTTGTTACAAAAAGAGAAACTTTATTCTCTCCACGTTATCAAGAATGAAGAATAAAGCCAACGGTCACGTGGTCAACCTCTTACGTGATGTTTGATTTCTGATACCGTAAAATTCCGAAAATAAGCCCCTCCATGTATAAGCCCTTCCAAATATAAGCCCCCCAAACTTGTAACGCAAAAAACCCTCCGTTAATTCGCACCTTTAAATATAAGCCCCCCCCCCCCCGGGGGGGGCTTGTACTTGGAAATCGCCCTCAAATACAAAGTAAAACAGAGAAACGGTAAATTCACTTCCAACTATAAGGCTAGCCCAATCAGTTTTGAAACGCAAATTTCCTCTGTACATAAGCCCCTCCGAACATAAGCCTCTCAAAAAGGGCCTTTGAAAAGCATAAGCCCTGGGGCTTATTTTCGGAATTTTACGGTATTTTAGAATACGGAAACCGTTGGAACTTTGACCACGTTTGAGTGCAACAAGAGAAAAGATACCATCGGCAAAATAGCCCGCCTACGTCACGTATCTAATGTAAGCTAACACTCTTGTTTTTCTGGGCTAAATCAGAAGCGGATCAGGTTTAACTTGCAACTTTCCCTCAAACTTCCGTCTACGAGTGGCTGTGAAAGAAAACGATCGTAAAACTACAAAAATGAAAACCGTAAACTCTTCAAAATCTCAACGAGTCCTTGAGTTTGTTCCGTCAATTAGACCATCGTTCCTTTCGGTGGTATTAGTTTTAGTTTGTGGATATCTCTGGCTGAAAAATGAAGCAACAAACGAACGACTGATTTCACTGGAATCTCGTATTTACTGTGTTCCTTGCACTAAGCGTGGCACTATTGATAATCTTGACAGGATGACTTTGTCACCGACAAAAGATATCGCAATAGACCTTTCCAAGAAGATGCAGACACAAGTTTCAGATAATGGGAACGGCTATACTTCAGGTAAAATTTATTCTTACTCTTCTTACTTGGATGGCCTTGTGTACATTGAGGATGTTTAGACCTGCTTTTGTTCTCCCTCGGTTAAGACAACCGTTCATGACGTAAGTTCCCGTTAACAACACGGGATCTTTTGCAATTTCAAAATAGTATCAGATTTTAACTTAAACTGTATGAAACTGTTTTGTAATGCTCCCTAGATGTCAGTAATTATGCCATGCCACTGCCAGTGATAAAAAACCGAAGAGATCTACAGCGTAAATGAAGTTGAATGTATAAATAATGTGTCTACAAGGGCAGAGCAAGATTCCTTCACGCGCCAGATAGTCGATATCATTACTGTACAGCTTTTCAACAAGATTGTCTTTTTAGGATTTTTAGCTAGACGGCATTAGATGAGGTTCCTTAAACGTTTCTTTAAGTGGGGGCTGCTTGTGCTTCTGGTTTGAGGTTATTTGGGTCTCGGAATTGAAAGGTATTGCGTGACCAATTTCAAGCAATAATGACCCAATTTTTGGCAATTTATTTTCAGATTTATCTGCTTTCTTTAGATTGAGCTATTTTCGTTTCGCACTTTCTGGATAAATTTTCGAATAGTATAGACAGTTACTGTGTAGATCAGTATAGAAAAATGGCGTGTATTAAGAGACTTTTCAGTACATGATATTTCCGTTTCTTTCAAAGGAATTCAGAGCGATTGAAAGTAGGTGTGTTCAAAACCTCAGTTAATCTTTGGCTTGAAATTTGTGCGAAGGTCTTAAGGTTCGATTCTTGTTCCTTTATAAGTTACCTTTATCTGGAAAAGTCAGCGGTATCATTCTTTCCTTCCTTCTCGATCTTGTTTATTTTTACAATTTATCATTGGACAGTTAGCCTGAATTTCATCCGATTACTTCGAGTCGTTATTACTCCCTCAGTTGTTGAGAGGAGAAAACGACTCGAAGCAATCGGATGAATTTCAGGCTATTGGACAGTGGCACCCCACAAGAACATAGTTCAAAACCACTTAAACATAGCATTGCTGAACGTATTTTAGTATTTAAACGGTAGGTATAGGCATATCTTAATCCCCTAAAAATTTTTGATCTGTTCGAATTTCCTAGCTGAAAGTCTAGTGATCCGAAAATTATAGGGATCAAACTTACCTTATCGAGAATTCGGCCAGAAAAAAGGCTCCCGAAAATTCTAGGAGACCTTTTTAGGGTAAAAATCCGTTAAAAATGGGAAATTATACCATTTTTTAGATGTTCGAAAATCTTAGGAGAGGCAGGCAGGCAAGAAATTTTACAACAAATGTTCCGAAAATTCTAGATCTCAAATCGTCTTCCGAACAGATATTTTCCGAAAATTGACGTTGGGTGCCCCTGATTGGATAATTAACAGGTATTATCTAATTTTACTTGACTGCAGTCAGCCCGTTGCCAATAAAGGTATCAGCAACCATCCGGGTAAGAAAGCAAAGAAACGTTTTGAACGACACTTCAACTAGCATCACCATACTTGAAATAAGAAAAGAACTCAGCAGACAGTTTGAACAACTTATGCCCACCAAGTACTGTAAGTCAAGTGAGAAAGTCTGTCCTGCAGGTCCCCCCGGACTTCCTGGTCCCACTGGGGTAAGGGGACCACGTGGCAGGAGGGGCCCAAAAGGAAAGAAAGGTCCTCAAGGTCCCATGGGACCTCCTGGAAAATCTGGAAAAACAGGAATAACGGGTCCTGCAGGACCGAGAGGAGAAAAGGGCGATAAAGGAGAGCCTGGGTCAAAAGGCGTGTCGGGACCACCTGGAAGGCCTGGGAAATCGATATCTGCTCCACAAGTGATGTTGTCACCAGCAGAGCAGACACGAGATGAGGGAGGAAATACGGCATTTTATTGCACGGTTGTAGGAAACCCTTCCCCAGTCGTGGAATGGCAATTTAAGGGCACAAAGCTTCTGTCAGGTGCAAAGCATCTGATTAAAGAAGGAGAGTTGATCGTTAGAAATCTGAATTACAGCGATGCTGGACCCCACACATGTGCTGCCAGGAACATTCTTGGATCGTCTGAGGCCACTAGCAACTTGACTGTTCGAGTTAAGAGGAGCATTTAAGTTAGAGTTTTGTTATATCTGGCTGCTTGATTATGTAGGCTTCTTTGTGCTCAGAGAATGCGAGAATACGAGGTTTGAATATATAAATGGCACCGCTGTTTAATCATTTACTTTTATCTCTTCTTCCATTTTTTCTTATTTCTTAAGCAGTGTATAACGCCAAACTTTAAATTTACTCACTCATACCTTATGCTAATGATCAAAGCCTAGTATAGATTTTGCTCATGGGCATTAGGCTAGTGGTCACGAGAGTAGTTCAACTTTTAATCTGAGCCATACAGACATAAAGACAATAAATAATGTTAAAGATGAAAACACATGACAGGAATATTTGGACCTTAAATGAACGCGGGGGCACACAACACCATCCTTCTCCTTCTCCCTTTGTAGCTTAGACCACCCGGGGAGGTTACTTAGGTTAATTTTTGCTGGATATGTGCCGCTGGTCTCTCAGAACTCCTACCCCATTATATTCTATGCATGCTGGTCGATCATGTATTGGCTCTATTTCAGGTCTTCCAGTCTTCACAAAAGTTCCACCTTCACTTGCCACACCAGCTCAAGGCACTACGTTTCAAGTAACATGTCAAGCTGATGGATATCCTCGCCCCACGGTAACTTGGACTAGAGTAGGAATGCCTTTACCTGCTGGAAAGACTAGTATAAACCAAGGCACACTTACGATTAACAACTTGAGTCCTGCTGACAACGGTTTTTACGACTGCGTAGCTACTAACATTATGGGAAGAAAGAAGAAAAGAATCAACCTAGCAGTACAACTGCGTTCAGGTTTGTATTCAAGGCACCGTCTCACTCTGTATATACCTGATTCAATAAAAGGTTGCTTTGGCAATTGGGCACTGGGCATTTGGGCGTACGCAAGTCACTGCTATGATATTGCTTGAGCGTCCACTAAACAACAGCTTCCCAGTGCGCAATTATACAATGCCCAAAGCAAGAATCAGGTACCGTTAGATTAAACGTTCATTTTAGTAGTGCAAATCTTCTTATCCAGCTTGCGATCTTTGTTAAACACCAGATAAGAGTGTTCATTAGGAAGGACAGTTTTTCGAAAGTCTAACTTTGCCACTGCGAGAACTATACGGCTATACCGAAATATATCGCAGGGTGATCTATTTGAATACCGCTTTTTTTTTATTTTTATTTTTGTTGTTTCTTTGTTTGTTTGTTTGTTTAGTTTTCAGGCATTCAAAAGCCATCTAATCACTGCTAAAGCCAGAAGAGAGCTACTATCATTGCGACTGTATGTTGCGCTTACAGAAATTTGCAACTTAAGGCAATTATGCGTGTTTACTATTAAGAGTTTCAATGATCTTAAATGCTTAATCTTCCTTAATAGCGCGCAAATCACGTACATGCATGCATAAATGCTATCTTGCAATGCTAGTCTTTTTCTCAATAAATTCAGTTGTTTTAACATGTTAAAAACTTTTTACCATGTCATTTTATGGACTTTGACTTTTAATAGGTAGATTTTGAAAGCTCAGTCATTGTGGGAAACAACAGAAATCACTTGACCTTGTTAAGAAACTGGCTAGCACCTGTGACAAAAAGCGTCTCTGGAAACGCTGTTGGCGTGCATCCTTGGACGGCTGGGCTGCAAGTACATTTCACTCCCAATGTGACGGCAAGGGCCCGACTGTGACAATAATAGGGGTCGGGAGATACATTTTTGGAGGATACACTAGTAAATCTTGGGGTGAGTGCGCAGTAAGAGGCGGTTTCCTTACTTTGCAGTTACTTGCATGGACATGTTCGGCTAAAAGTGCAGCTTGATACCTTTGTATTGAACAACATGGAGTCAGTTTGACCTTGCATGGTTAAGCAGTAGCCGATAAAGGATTCAGGTTGGCGGATCTAGATTCGGACGCGCAACCCCTCGCCCCTCCAAAACCGAGGACCCCCCTCCTTGACTCACAAGGAATTAACAAATGTGGCAAAAAAACAACAGCAACTGATCATTTTATCATGATTTTAACAGATTTGCTTTGTACAAGTTACAAAAGGAAATATATAATTACCCGACGTTTTATTTATTATTTTTCAAATATTTTTTCGCGAATCTGTTGCTTTGTAATTGCAAATTTTCGCTTTTAAACAGCTCCCATAGACGGAAACCTTAGGTCCAGTAAGCGAACAGTCTCTTAGGTTTCAGGACCCCGATTGTTAATCTCCCGTTCAAAAATTGGCTGCTGCGGGAGGTTTTATTGTAAGCAATAAAATGAAACGCTGAGTGATAAACACAAAATATACACATTCTCATGGTTATTTTATCAATAATTTATAAAGCACTTAGTATCTGTAAAATTTTTTCCACTAATTGTACATTACTAGGCGACCCAGTGATTTACATTCATTCGTTGTAATTGGATGTGTTTGGAGTTATTATTGTCGAGGATATAGATGTAAGCAGGGTAAGATGATTGATCAGGAGTGGATTTCAATTCAGGGGGTAATAGCCCAACACGTATTTTTTTGTTTATTTACATTGTTAATGTAACGATAGATGTTAAGAGAAGAACTAAAAAAAGGCCTGAATTCCAGATTGGAATACTCGACACATTTCATGAGTCATTGGAAATTTTAGTACTGGGCTGGTAAAACGACAGTACTGCATCGAGCGCTAACTTTTTTTTTTTTTTATGTGTCTTGTGTTTATTTTGCCTGCGTCGTATCCCAAATGGCACTTTTATTCCATCTCTATTTTCTTGTAGGTTCTGGCTCTAGGTATTGGTACGACTCAAACGCCTTTTTATTCTCACTTGTAAACAAGCCAGGATGGGCACCCGTCAAGCTGCCTCAGGCAGGGAAATATAGCTCCAGAAGAAGAGCTTCCATATACGATAAACCATCACATGGGCCTACATTTGGAGGAGGAAATGACATTTACATATCAAACTACGCGTCATCCAATCGCAATTCATATAGCGACCTTGGCTCTGAGTACAGCCCACCGAGTAGGTACAGTTACGACAGCACCTTCGCCCAAACATTCCTGGTAGGATCATACAATTTCACACCAGACGAAATGGAAACGTTTTACGAAACAACTTAAATAATTATAATGAGCTACAACCGGTTTTTATGTTTAAGTAATGAGCTTTTGGTTTTCTTTTGGTCCTTTTGCATTTTTGAGAACTAAAAATAACTAAACAATCTCCAAAATCGATTGTCGCAGTAAGCTTATCACTAAAAAAAACTCTTAGTAGCTGTATGAAAAGAGGCTACGAAATGTAACAGAACATAATACATGGTTACATTATATGGAACTATTCGGTTGTTTGTTATTTGTTAGGCTCGACTGAATACAAGCCGCTGTTTGGGAAATGAGCCCGCGCTCCTTCCGCCGAAAAGGGGAGGACCGGGAGAGGGGCGGAAATCGCGCTTCGGTAATATGTAGGCATTAGATTGCGGAACAACCCCATTAATTATTGCGTAGATCAGGAACACGCGAGGCCGTTTAAAGGAAAGTTCTGAACCACTCGCATCACGGGAGTGTGAGGCTCGAGCGAAAATCTCACCCAAGCCCTTCTGCTTAATCAGCTATGTAGCCCTTTTTCTCCACTTCGATTGATTAAAAGATTTTCCAGAGATTTCTTTGGATTCTGATTAACGCTTCGTTTATGGGACTTTTGTGGTACTTAATGAATTTCTACTCAAAAGTTAATTGTCTATTTCATCTTTATTCCATCGTTTCTCCCAGACAATAAGAATTGGACTTTACATCAGCTCAAGCAATGTTAAGTTCAGGAATTCTTTGATTAAGTCACTCGTCAATAGTGTTTACCTTGATGCGCTCGAATGAGTTTTTAGCACGTGAAATGTACTTCAAACATCGCAAATAAAATGATAAGAACGGTGACTGGATCAATGAATTAATGGCAATCTGACTAAAAACCATTATTTTGTCTATTTAATTGTGCGATCCTAACATGGATGTAGTATTTAAACTTTCGTGTCTTGTAATTTTTTCAGACCGAAGTGCACTCCACTCATTTTAGGGAAGACTGTGTTGTCACGTGACGTGTTGTCTCAATCTCTGACGGGAAACAATAGCCCAGTTCTTTGAAGTTTGCGGTTTTCCCAACCAGTGCCCTCTACTAACTATGCACAGAAACAGTACTTTTTTTGTGACACTTAGGACTGCCGGTCATTTAGTGTTTTGAAAACCTTGACCGGCAGTCGACACTGAAAAAGGTCTAAGTGTCACATAACATGGTTTCGTCTTCTGAACCCAGCGTAAACCAAACGCTAGACTTGAGATCTATAAAGCATTTCAGGATCGCTTGACTTTTCTTAATGGACATGATATGATAGTTTAGTTTAGGTGGAATTTTTCGATTTTGTGAAATTTACGGAGAATATAGGGCTGCCGGTCACTTAGTGTTTTCAGCACCTTGACCGGTTACCGGCCATATAGCCACAGCGGTCAAAAGAAGCCTACCTACATCAGCGCGTCAGAGGCATTACCACTGACTTCCACATGCCAATTTTATAGCCTGGTTTTTAGTTGGGCAAAATTGTTGGCAGGGTGAAAGTGTACTTCTCTAGAGTCTCAGGAAATGTTGGTTTATATGCAACAAACCTTGACAGGTTAAAAAATTGACCTCAGAATGGAGTATTTCTAAAAAGAATAGCCTATCATTCACTCTTCAGTCCTCGTATCTCGTAAGGGGGGGCCCCGGGGGGGGGGGGATTAAGGAATTTTGGGGTGGGCATGTGCCGCTGGGACCCTGGAGCCTTAGCGGATACCAGAGCTAGTTCAGCTGAATTTTGCTACCCTATACTAGATTAAATTCCCCAAATCCCCCCTATCCTAGAGTAGCTGATTTAACTACTGCGGTTATTAGCACAGTCCAGCCAAAACAAAACCGATTTGATTTTTTATATTTTTGAGTGGCAATTCCCCGTTTCCCTAGTCTAGACTAAAATTTTCAACCAATTGATCAGTTTCCTGGAAAATGATACCCTATTCTAGACCCAAACTTTCAGGTTTATATACCCTATCGCAGAGTATACTGCTTGGAAACCATACCCTTCATAGCGGCACACCTATATAGCCCATATATGGCAGTACTTTTGAGCTTCAAATCGAAAACTTGAAGCAAGTTTCATGTATTTTAATGTGATATAACAAGCACAAACTGAAAGCACTCCATCCTACTACATCAGACATAAAGAGTGATTTTAGGCGATTGCTATTTGTCTCTTCAAGCGCGGTAATGAAAGCTATTAAATTCTGGCCTGAGTTCATCCGCGGTGACCCAGGGGCAGATAGTGGGGGCGAGGGAAAGTCTAAACGGGCGGAAAAATATGGCATGAAGAAAAGTAAAGAACAGCAAGAAGAGCCCCTGGGGACAATGTCTTACCAGACCAGTTCCAAACGGTCGCCGCCGTTCTGACTTCTGATTGGTGCCAGAAAACAGTTGTGTTATTCTGCCCAATCAGAAGGCAGAACGGCGGCGACCGTTTGGAACTGGTATGGTAAGACATTGTCCCCAGAGGCTCTTCTCGCCGTTCTTTACTTTTCTTCCTGCCATATTCCCCGGTTAGACTTTCCCTCGCCCCCACTGTCTGCCCCTGGGTCTCCGAGGATGGCCTGAGTTTTAAATAAAGGGTATAAGCTACTAGCAACTACTATACCCAACACCGCGGCAAAACGCAATGCGCATGAGCACAAAATTTAATATCCGGTCAGCTTTTCATTTCCGGTCTAGTATATAAACCAATAGCGTAAGCATAACTTTGCCGTCGCGCCAAGTTTAAAAGCAAAAAGGGCGAAACAGACAAAAAAGGGGGCCAAAAAAATCACTTCATTTGAAAGCTTATATATTTTTCTATTCTCAAACTTTTGCACCACATGGTTATCTGTTTGCACCAACGGTGAAAATGATGTTTGAAGTTTGCAGGTCGCGAGCGCTCGACATGACGAATTTGTTTTTACAGGCTTTCTTGCATGCTACTGGTTTGGCATAAGTTAATTTGGGAGAAGGCGACAACTAAGAAAAGAATAACAATACTTATGAAAGAAACCAAAATAAAGACGTCATCATTATCATAAAAACACTAAAACCAGGAAATAAAATTCTAGTCCGTTCAATAATTTGTTTTATTATCAGAGAAAACAAGAACTCAAAACAAAAGATTGGCGGGATTTAATAACAACTTTGACTTTGATGACTGCAGTCACCGGGAAACTAAACATGCCCATAAATGACTTTCGTTCAAGAAAATGCCTATTTAATTCTTTTACATGGTTGTTCTTTTGTTGAAGACTTCAATAATTTCAGACTGTGCGGCTCGGCTGCATCTCATGTAAACACGAAACTTCTAGCTGCTAAATACATGGCATGAAAAGTTCGACTTCTAAAAGCCACTGAACCAGCTTTCGCTCTCTGATTCTGAGAATGAAAAAATAAATAAATAGAGTTGTCAACTTGCTGTCAACCGGCTCAACAGTATAATTAAGCTTATGTTTCATGGCAATCAACCCAGAAGAGTTTCGTTTTAAAACACGGTAAAACCCACTGGTAAACAAAACTACAAAGCGATTGTGTGTTGTCGTTTTCCAAATAAAGTTTGAATCGGCTTTAACACATGTAGACTGAGAAACTGAAGAACTGAAAATTAGAACTACAATACACAAGCTTGCAATGATAACGTTTTAATTTTGTGTATTAGTTTCAGCCAGGTTAAGTGAAAAATAACAGTCAAAAACTTTATTTTCGTGAATGAAAATCAGTTTACCTGACGCTCTAGCCAAAATTGCAGAAAATTGCAAAATTACACGCTGAGTTATTATCATCTTACCTTTTCTGAATCTAATCGACTAATTGTTTCAGTGATCTGTGCCTGGTTATCCATAAAAGCAATTTCAATAACTACAAAATAGTCAAAGACACGAGCAGCATAAAGCAGAACAACTGAACCACAAGCTGCACACAGAATGAAGCCGAGAGCGCGCGGGAGACTTTGATCTGACTGGAAAGTGTGACTGAAAAAGAGACCGGAAATGCTCAACCTAGCGCATGCGTAGACGTTTTGCCGCGGTGTTACTATACCCACTGACCATACCGGAAGTTACTTTACAAGTGAGGTTGAGCTGAAAACGAAGACCGATTGCGAAACATCTAGTATGTGATTTTTTGGCGTTGGTGATCGAAGAAAGAAAGCACTCGTCAAAAGAGGACGACTGGTCGTGATCATCACAAATATGAGATCGGCGAATAGTATTACCTGATGTGTGTGTGTGTGGTTTTTTTGTTTGTTTGTTTTGTTTTGTTTGTTTTTTCTTGTATTGTTGTTTATTTATTGGTTTTAATTTTAGTTTCCTTTTTTCTTCTTTTTGGTTAGAGAAAAAAAAATTTTTTGAGGTAAAAATCCGATAAAAGACTGGCGCCTCTTCCTAGATTATCCTAAATTCTCACGTTTTCAGGCTCTTGGTTGGTATCGTGTATACTGACACAGCTGTACACCTTGCATAATCACTGAGGAGCTAACACTCATTATCAACCAAGTAATAAACCGAGGAACCTGAATAAGCAAGAAGAAAACACAAAAGTCTCTAATTACTTTCATTTACAAGTTAAAGATAGCCTACTCATTTAATTGAAAGGAGGTGATCAAGTAAAAATATTTACGATACTTTAAAGGAAGAAAGAATACAATCTCAAAATCACTGCTCTATCGAGAAGAATTTGCACATTTAGGTCGAAACATTTTTTTACGTTTTACGTAAATAGGTCAATAATAATATATTTACTAAAAGCGAAGCGGCTATTTTAAATATTAACAATTATCTTACTGGGCATGCAAGAAAATTTTTTTCAATTATTAGTTTTTTCTTTTTCTCTAGGATAACAAGTAGCAACTTATGTCCACAAATTATATCACGGATTGTATTTTAACAAAGTTCTATTTTCATTGAAAAAATATAGATCTCCATGGCTGCACAGACTTCCTCGCCAAAGCTTGGATAAACAGGTATTAATAATTTCAGAACAAATAACCACAAATTATTATAAAGGGTCCATATTCCAGTTCAAGCACGTTTTTTCTGTATTTTGGAATCCTAATTACTTAGAAACTTATCGTTGCTGCGGGCTAATTTTAGACTGCAATTAACTAACGTCTCCTTCTCTCTCTCGTTTTACAGGAGAGCTTTCAGGGTTTACGTTACCAATTGCTTAAAGAGGTCCTTAAAATACGATATCTATGCAAAATTAAAATTGCATTAAACGGTAAAATAACTACCCAAACGTTGAAAGAAGGAGTGAATAAGAATTCATGAATTCCCTTCCCTTTGCTTAAGCTGAAGCCTGAGAAAGGTTATTAAGGACCTTAAGCAACGATGACGACGACGGCAGTAAAAACGTCGCTAAAAAAATGAATTTGCGTTCTTTCAAACTTTATCGCGTCTATTTGGACCCGCTCAATATGTCAAATGCAGGAGACGTTTCGTGGAGTTGAATTCGTTAAGAATTTATTCAAGTTCAAAAAGAGGAAGGAAAATTCGTCGTCGTATCTCCACGTCCTCCATAAAACGTCAAATTAGGAGGTTTCACTTTGTAGTGGTGCAGTGAACATCAAAGAAATGTACTAAAAAGCGTGATGCACGTCAGAGCTGTTGTTTTGATCGTTAAACCTATGGTTTTTTTTTTTTAAGTTGTCGTGGTCGACGTCGTAGTTCCTTAAGCTCCCTATTAACTAACTGTCCGTGCCGTGCCTTGTGACACTGCTTATAAAGTCTTGTTATCGTTACGCCAATCGTGATGACATGTTTCTCTAAGCGAATTTTTTAAGGATCAAGTTTTACTGGCAAGTTTCCCACGTTCCTCCGTCTTCATATGCATGGGACGATTGGCAAGCTGCAGAAATGAAATCCTCGAACTCCTCAGAATCTCGTCGACTCCTTGATTTTGTTCCGTCACTTAGACCATCGTTCCTTTCTGTTGTATTAGTTTTTGTCTGCGGATGTCTCTGGGTGAAGAATGAAACAACAAATGAACGATTGATCGCGCCGGAATCTCGCGTTAACCTTTTCCCCTGCGTTCAGAGTGTCTCGGCTGAAAATACTGACAGGATGTCTCTTTTATCGACAAAAGGCATAGCAAGAGATCTTTATAAGAAAGTTCAGACACATATTTCAGAAAGGATTGGTTATACTCAAGGTAAAATCATCATTTCAGATGTTTTTTAGATGCAGATAGATATTTAGAACTGAGTTTATCCTCTTTTGATTTAGGCATATAATCTTTCACACAGTTCAAGTGTACGGGATCTTTGGATATTTCATGACAGAATTGAATTTTTACTTCAACTAAAACTGTATGAACCCTTTTGAAATACTCTCACTCTTTTGTAATACTGCTTAGATATTCACCTAGCCACCTATACTGGTAAAACAGTAAAGAAATTTACGGTGTAAATGATGTTGAATCATGGCTTAAGTGGCGAACGACTTGCTCACGTACAAGATATGTGGTCGATACGACCATAAAGCTTCATTAAACAAAAAATTATCGCTGACATATTCGACCATTTAGGATGGTAGAGGAAGCTCCCTAAGCATTTAGTGTGTGCGTCCAGAGTGTGCATAACAGTTTTCCGCAACTGAGCTTGTTTAAGTCGTTTAAGGTTGAGCACGGATGGCGTTACAATTTTGGCAATAAGTGCACAGCATTTTTTTTCTGCGTTTATCTGTTTGTTGTAGAGCTTATTTCTTCAAGGAAAAGAAAATTTTTTAGCTCTATGTGAATAAAGTTGTTACGGTAGCGTAAAATTTGAGGCTTTAGAGGAGTTCGGTTAAGGAGTCTTAGGGATAGCCGATAGGGTGGCAAGATGAAAGGTTCGTTTATTGAACGGTCTTAGTTGGTTTGAACCCCGTGGGGGGGTTACTCCCTATGATGGCCTAGACGGAGCGGCTTCGTTTCCCCAAAAGGAGTATCTTTTTCAGGCTTAAGGTATATGAAAGGGTAGGGATTTCATTTGTGGAACTATATAAAAGTGTAGGGAAAACTGTCATTTGGTCTGTGAAAGGGCCCAAGGGGCTAAAAGATGAATTTTTGGCTTTATAAAGTCGAAAAACGTTCTATTTTTCTGATCGATTCCTATTTAAAAGAAAGTGCATTTACAGCAGTTAAAAGAGATGCAAAGTTCTAAACAGGGTTTGTGAAAGGCGTGCCATTTGTCAATAGAAGGTAGTATACGAAAGGGGTACCTTTTTCAAGACAAAAAGAGGTATAGGGGTTGAACCTCGAGGTGGAGCCTCCCCGTATAAACATTTGTTGAGCACCCCCTCCCCGGGGGTTTGAAATGTGTGCGTTTATCAAGAATGAGCTTGGCTTTCCCTTGGAAGCAGGAAGGGAAGAAGACTGGGGACAAATTAAAAAGTTGGTTCCAATGTGTTAATAACCTTTTTGTGGAACGCAATCTCTGAAACGCTTAATTTTGTGTTAGAAATGTCAACCTTATCATTCATTTGTTTTCTCTTTATTTTTGATATTACTGAGTTAGTTTGGATATTTAAAAATTTCTTAATTTTTCTTAACTGCAGCCAGCCCGTTGCCAAAAAAGGCATCAGCAACCATCCGGCTAAGAAGACGAAGACGTCTTTTAAATGACTCTTCAACTAGTGTCACCATAAATGACGTGCGAAAAGAAATCAGCAAACAGTTTGAACAACTTATGCCCACCAAGTACTGTAAGTCAAGTGAGAAAGTATGTCCTGCAGGTCCCCCCGGATATCCTGGTCCCACGGGAGCGAGGGGATCACGTGGCAGGAGGGGACCAAAGGGAAAGAAAGGTCCTCAAGGTCCCATAGGACCTCCTGGAAAATCTGGAAAAACAGGAATGATGGGCTTCGCAGGACCGAAAGGAGAAAAGGGAGATAAAGGAGAATCTGGGCCAAAAGGCATGCCGGGACCACCTGGAAGTCCTGGGAAATCGATATCTGCGCCACAAGTGATGTTGTCGCCAGCATAGCAGACACGAGATGAGAAAGGAAATACGGCATTTTATTGCACGGTTGTAGGAAACCCTTCCCCAGTCGTGGAATGGCAATTTAAGGGCACAAAGCTTCTGTCAGGTGCAAAGTATCTGATTAAAGAAGGAGAGTTGATCGTTAGAAATCTGAATTACAGCGATGCTGGACCGTACACATGTGCCGCCAGGAACATTCTTGGATCGTCTGAAGCCACTGGCAACTTGACTGTTCGAGGTAAGAGGAGCATTTAACTTAGAGTTTTGTTATATCTGGCTGCTTGATTTTGTAGACCTCTTTGTGCTCTGAGAATGCGAGAATACGAGGTTGGAATATAAAAATGACACCGTTGTTTAATCATTTACTTTTATCTCCTCTTTCATTTTTTCCTTATTTTTTCAGCAGTGTATAACGCCAAACTTGAAATTTACTCACTTACACCTTAAGCTGATGATCAAGGACTATAGAGTAGTCACGAGTATAGTTCAACTTTTAATCTGAGCCATACAAGACATTAAATAATGTTAAAGATAATAACACATGACGGGAATATTTGGACCTTACATGAACGCGAGGGCGCACAACACCATCCTTCTCCTTCTCCCTTTTTAGCTTAGACCACCCGGGGAGGTTACTT